CCCCTTTCTGATCTGTAGGGACTACTTTCTTAATCCACCCTGGCTAAAAAGGTCTCTGTTATTCCCAGGACTTGCAGATAGAGATACTTAGCAATGGGAGATGGGGGGCCGAAGATCCAGGGGGAGCATAGATCTAGGAATCATCTGTGAGCGCTGACTGAACCCCAAGAAAGAAGGGCAGAGCCCCAGGGGACACCGGGTTAGAGCCTGGATGAGGCCTTGGTCCTACTCAGCCCAGGAAGGATAAGCCCCAGGGAATCTGCAGAGGAGACCAGAAAGGGGTGGGTGATGGGGGGGCTGGCCTCTGCCCGCTGCTGCCCCACGTCTTCATGCTCCCCCAGAGCTGTTCCCCAGCCCAGGCCAGGAGGGTCCTTCACCTCCGAGGGCTGTGGCCAGCTGGCTTCATTCCAGGAGGGGTGGCTCCATGGCACCCAGAGAGGCGATCTCAGGCAGGTCCCCAGCTGGCCCTGGGGGCTCTTTGTCCATCCACTTCCTGAAGACTCCAAAACCCTGTGAAGGGGCTGCGCCTACAGATAACTCAGCAGCAGGCTCCTTAGCCCGGAAAATCCACGGGAACACATAAGTCCTGGGAGTTATAGCACTGATCCATATGGCGATGGCATAATTACATTAAAGTATATTTGGAAGGCAGGATGACTTAAGCAGCCAATTAGTCAAGTTCAGAGGGGGCGAGCGGTAAATCACGCTGCGTTGGCTTGCGCTAACGGAGGCCAGCATTGCCGCTCCCTCCAGCCCAGCTGTGAGGGGACACGTTCACTTTTCACGGGCCGGGCCTTCAGGAGAACATTTGTGGATGTGCTGACTTTCCTCCCTCTGCTGCGTGGCACAGGGCCCGCTCCATTGGTGCCAGCCTGGCCTGGTGGAGCCCAGACCTACATCTGCTCTGGACTCGGCTGTCAGTCAGCAAGCTTTTATTAAGCGCCTGCCGTGTGCCAGCTGCTGGGAAGGCAGAGAAAGGCCAAAGCCACAGCCTGCCCTCCAGGAACTCCCAGTCTAAAGAAAGGTCATCGGAAAGGGGGAGGCAGGGAGACTCCACGAAAAGCCGCCTGCCCACGGTGGGACAAGCCAGCGCTGAGTGTGAGCAGGGGGAGGAGGAGGAGGCTGAGCGCACTCCTCTCTGCCCGAAACCAGCAGGATCCAGTAAGAGGCAGAAGGAAGCTTCTGCCCGGTGCCAGTCTGCCTTGGAAAGGGCAGGGAGGAGTCGGGAGCCCGCAGGGGCAGCAGTCGGGGCCTTTTTCTTCCCTGACGTACCCTTCTCACCCCAGTCTTCCCTCTGCTCTACTCTCCTCTGGAGTGACCTACTGTGTGCAAAGCGCTGGGTAGGTGCTGCCATCCGGACAGAAGTGGGGCGGTTCCTGCTCCCCAGGATGAGAGGGAGAGATCGCAGGGAAGGTTCCAGCTGCCAGTCCACCGGGAAGGCCCCCACGATGAGCTCTCCTTCATTGTGGCTTCCATGATGAAATCCCATCCATTTCTAACGTTGAGCAGTTTGGCGGAGCTAGGACTGGGTGGTGAGGGTCTTCGGTCACTGTGGCTGCAGGCCCCCTCCTGGTCGTTTGGGGGCTACCTCCACCGCCTGGGTTCTTATGCTTACGGGCTTGTGGTAGGGCGTCCTCATCCACGGGGCGAGGACAGTGGGCCCGCTCCGCCCTGTGGTGGCTTCGCGACGTGGCCTGGCGTGCACTGCCTTCTCAGGCTGCTGGGCTTCCCACTCGTGGCTGTCTGCACTGGGACCAGGGCGTCCACCTTTAGTGGTCAGTCCTCATCTCCTGCCTCCCCTTGATCACGGTCCTGTGAGCTTTCCCGTGTTCCTCTGAGGTCCTCAGGGCGAGCCGGCCCTTCCCAAGTGTGGGTGTGCATGCTTTGGCTGCTGTAGGTCTCTCCCGTGTCTGACCTTCTCGCGGTTCTGTCCATAGCGAGCTCCTGGGAAAGGGCAGAAATGACATGGTGACTTCTCCCGGAATCCCCGAGAAGCTCTGCCAAGTGTGTGTGATCAGCGTCATCTTGTAACGTCTCACGTTAGTTCTGTCATGATCCGACCCCCGGACGGGGTCACTTGGGCTGCCGGGCCCCGATGGCAGAGGATGCTCCCCACTTGGATGGGCCCCCACCACCTCTCCCAACACTGCCCCCCAGCTTCTCCCCCAAGCCTGTTTGGGGGATCCACGTCCCTGCTTGAACTTCTGCTGAGTGTAGACGCCCCTTGAGCCAGGGGACAGCTCCTGTGGGAAGGCTTTGATCTGCCAGTGACGCCTGAGGCCGAATAAAGCTGCGGGGCAGTGATCCTTCTGCCTTTTATCAGGCTGCTGCGGGACCTGGGCTAGTCACCGACCTTGGTCTGCCTCAGTTTCTTCACATGTAACACGGAGATAACAATGCCGTCTCCCTCACAGGCTGTCTTGAGAATCCGAGGACCGGAGCTGCCTTTATGTGACCGGTCAGGGGCGGGAACCTCTCATTGTCACTGCTCTGGAGGTCGTCTTCTTAGGGTTGACAGTCTTGGAGCCTTGGCTACATCTCCAGACTTCGATCTGAACAAAAAAGAGACTTTGCAGCAGATAAAAGTAAACTCCTATTCATTCTGCATCCCAAGCCCGACAGCTGGTTGGGTCAGTCAGACAACACGCATTCCCGGAGCCTTGCCCAGTGCCAGGCAGAACCACCCACCCTGCCCAGGAACAGCTGTGTCCCAGCGCCCCTGTGTCTGGCGGCCTTGGGGCACAGCCCCCCACAGAGCCTGGCCGGTGGTAGAGGGAGCTGCCGCGGCTGTGCCTCCACCCCCCCGGGCGCATCTCCCTGGCTTGGCCGCGAAGAAACCATCCCTGTGCTCGGGGCTGGAGAGAGATCTGACTGGCTGCCTGCCCTGGGCAAGCTCCCAGTCTACCACACCCAGTTACGGCCAGCCTAGCCAAGGCACTGCTCGAGGTCATTTAAGGCATGGCCCCAGGTGGAAGAGAGGTGGTCAGGAGGAAGGCTGAAATTCCTAGTACCTTTGTGTCCTCTTCAGGACAAACAAGGAGCAGGGAGACAGAGAGCCCAGAGTCAGCAGGCAGCAGCACTGGGGGCGGGGGGAGCCGAGGCTTCCAGAGGACCCCCCCATCCTCAGGGAACCAACGTCTCCTCCCCCATCTCCCGTCATCAGCTCTGGATGGTGCTCACCCTCTGAGATTGATGCGCCTTTGCCCTCTCCTGACTTTTATTAGGAGTGAGCCGAGGGAAGGAAGAGTCATTCCAGGAACCCCGAGGGCTGTAGTGTCCGGGAGGCCAAGCTGGGGTCGTGTTTCATTCAGGCTGTTTGTGCCCTTGGGTATTTCCACTGGGGCAGTCAAGTCAAGATCTCCATTTAAATAGTCACGGAGATTTAGACCTGAGTGGTGGCTGCCGCATCACATCAGTGCCTGAGCTCCCTTGCACGCCCTTCCATTAGGGGACAGCAGGAGAATGGTGGTGGGCAAGGCTGGGGGCTGGCTTCCAGACTCTCCTTTGTCTCCCACATTCCCCTGAAGGGGGAGAAGGCCCCCAGTGAGGTCCCTGGGTCATCCTCCTCCAGAAGCCCCAGCCTCAGACTCATTGGCCCTCCAGGCACCTCGAAGGGAGGGAGGCAGGGGCAGAGACCCCCTCATCCCCCTCCTTGTTGGCCTCCCTGCCTTTCAGCCCCCTTTATCTTTTGTTTGTTGGTATATATCTGTTTGCATGTTCTCTCTGTGAGACAGAAGACCTATTAATTATTATATTCTTTAAATCTAACCAGAGATTAGCCGTAGAATGTGATCCTGACCTCAGTAACTCTCCAGGAATGCCAGACTGCTGCAAGGAGTTTGGGGTTCCCTCAGGCCCTGGAACCACCCCCAGTATTTTGGGTTACCACACCCAGGGCTCAGGTCAGCCCACCAAGCCTGTGTTTTGGCATCCACCCCAATTTTATTTAATGTTTACACTTACTGATGTCTATCTCAGTGGGGGCAAGCTTGCTCTGCTGTGTCTATGATGTGTTCAGGCAGCCTTGTCAAAATCCTGTGGAATGTAAGCTTTCCAGGAGCTGGAGGAGTGAGAGGAAGCCACTTCTTTTCTGGCGCAGACTTCTCTACCAAAGGACCTCATCAGTTTCTAAGACTCTTTCAGATTTTCCTGTGAGGCACCAGGAATCCTGGCCTTTCCCACCCCCACCCCACATTAGAGACTCCCCAAGATTGAGTCCATGTGTCCTAAGTCTCTGCCTTCTCCGCACCTGGACCAGCGAGGGCAGCCTGAGGATGGAGGGAGGGAGAAGGGCCATAAGAGCTGTCACCCAGGCCCCTGCTAGATGGTGAGGTCAGGGACCAGGGCTACACACGGGCAGCTGCTGGTCCGGCCAGCCGGAGGCACTGGGGGCGTTCACCCTCGATGTGCGCTGCTCCAGCCCAGACGAGCCCCCTCTGTTCCCCATTGTCAGGGGACACACACTGGAGCAGCCCTCTCCCTTTCTCCTGAGGGATGAGTCTGAGGTCTTTCTCTGAATGTCATTTAGGGCAGAGGCCCTGTTGGAAGGTGGTCACCAGTGCCTTTGGGGATGGAAAGGGGCAGTTTGGTGCAGTCACAGTGCTCCCTCTGAGTCCTGCCCCTGGCAGATGGGCCAGGGGAGGGGTGCCGGGGATGGCAGAAAGAGGTCTTGGGAGCTGGGGTCCCTCCCCAAGCTGCCCTGAGCCCCAGATTGCTTGTGGATAGAGACTTGGGGTGGGGGGGAGTGTGTGCACACCCCTTCCCCACCATCCTCTTGTTCTCCTCATGTTTTGAGGTGCAGGGCCCTGGGCTCAGCGCAAAGGAGGGCACAGGCTAGGGCTCCTCCCGGGGCCTCAGTAGGTGGCTTCTCATCTCAGTGTGAGGCACATTGGCTTGGCCTGTGCCCTGCTCAGCTGCCTCGGCCAGGGACTGCCCCTGGTCCCATCCAGCTCCTGGCTCTGCCTGCCTGATGCCCGTTGGGGTTTGTCTGGTTTCCTCAGGTATATCCGGGTCCTAAAAGATCACAAGCCCAAGATGATCTGGCACCAAGAGTTTGCAGAGCATTACTTTGAGTACAAAAGGTGAGCACTGAGCCTGGGGGGGCAGGGGGGGAGGGGCCTGGCCAGGAGCTCTGACCTTGTCCTGGAGAGGTTTGTCCTCTCACCCTCCGGCCCCAGGGGGGCTGGAAAGGGCCTCAGAGGCCACTGGCCCGTGGCCATCTGACCTTTCCAGCCAGGGAAGGGGCCCCCCACCACCTGCCCAGGCAGCCTGTGCCTCCCTGGGATCCTTTGTCCCTTTGTGGGCACCAGCCTCAAGCTGCCTCTGTACCCACCCAAGTCTTCCCTTCTCTGAGAGAGGCATCTTGCTCCTCCCCGCTTCAGAACCATTTCCAGCTCATCCATGTCCTTCCTCAAATGTGGGGCTCAGCTGAAGCCAATCCTCTACTTAGGGGGTGCAGCCGAGGTACAGTACCTATGGCACACTCACCAAAAGGAAGATGGCACCACCCAAGGGGAGGATGGCACCACGTGGGGAGGTATGGCTGACAGCCCCAAGGACAGAGTCAGGACAAGAAGGGTCTGGACGGGCCAGAGCCTTGGGATGGTTCAAAGGCTGCCGATGAGCTCCAAAAAGCGGCTTCTGTTGGGCAGGTCGGAGAGCTCAGTGGGCATCCCCAGAGATGATGGAGGCTGCAGGAAGGGGGCCAGATCAGGGTCACCCTCCCACGGCAGCCTCCCAATCCACAGCCTTTCCAAGCATTTGCAGGACAGCTTGGATGGGAGCAGGGACCATAATTCTGGGGAGACAGGGCTTTCTCTGCACTGCCCCCTTCTCAAATAGTCACAGACCTACGTTTACATTTATAGGGCCTCGCCATCCCCTACTGTGGCCCTGGGGTTGAGTCTAGGGACCGGCCCTTAATAAATGTGCATTTGCTTGAATGGATAAAGTGGAGAATGGCCAGAGGAGGGCAGCTAGGAGGACCAGGGGCCTGGAGATCCTGCAGTATGAGGCCTGAGGCAAGGAGGGATTTTGGAGGGCCAGGATGGGGGTCTGGAGGCACATCCCACCTCCAGGCCCTGGGCCAGGCAGTGAACTCTCTGAGCCTCCGAGGAGGCAAGGTCAGTGGACCTCCATCAGGGCCGACCTTACCCTGAAAAAAGCAGCTGATGAGAAATTCCCCCCACCCTCACTCTGCCTTGTGTCTTTCAGAAGCAAAAGCAGAAAGCATTTTATCTTCTTCCCAACCCTAAAGGTAAGTTTGTGCATCTGTGAGGGGGCCATAGAGGGTTGAGGGTGAGCCCTGTGCTTTAGACAGAGGAGGCCGACCACTTGTCTCCCTGTGCAGCCTCAGGATTGTGGCTGTGGTCACACGCATGGCCATGTCTCGTGGCTCCTCCCTCGGACCCTTTCACTAGCCTAGGATAGCCCTGCTGTCCAGAAGGAAGGCCTTGGTGCTGTGGTCTGGGCTGAGCATGACCTTGTCCAGAGGTCATGGACTCTGGGCTTCCACTGGGCTTCCCCCTGGCTTCTGCAGGCCCACTAACCAAGGCTGTTAGCCACAGCAATGACATGGGCCCCCTGGGTGGGACACGTGAGTGGGCCTGCTTGGACCAGCCTGGCTTCTGTTAGGTTTGGGTGATACTTTTAGGGGGAGGTGTGTCTTGGGGTGACCTCCGACCAGCAGCCTTGTGCCTTCTCTGACTCCGTTTGTAAAATTTGCCCTTTGGAGGCAAAATCCACTCTCTGAGAGACCCCTCTGTCTTCAAGGGGGGCCCACCGAGGTAGGCCCCTGGCTGGTTGGGGCTTTGGGAGCCCCCGTCCATGTGTCTGCTTCCAGACCTGATGGGTGTGCCAAGGGGATGGGGGCTCAGGGCAGGCCCAGAGTGACCAGGCACCTCTTCTCTCTCAGTCCATTCAGCTGCGGCTGGACCTCGCCAAGGAGCTGGGCACCGGCATTGCCATCTGGGAGCTGGGACAAGGCCTGGACTATTTCTATGACCTGCTCTGAGGCCGAGAGCTGAGCCCCTGCACCTGTCCCTCCTCAAACTGAGCCAGGTTGTTTTTGTTTTGTTTTGTTTTTAAGAACTAGACTTTTGTACACTGTTGGGGGTGGCAGGAAGATCTCTGTGGAATACACGTGTCTGGTTCTTTCCTGCCAGAGCTGGCTGTGCTGTCTCCCTGGGGGCTGGGGCTGTCTCTGTCCTGGGTTGGAGTGTGGGGAGGGCCCGAAGCCCAGAGCCCGGCTCCCCAGGGAATGAGCCAGGCGGGAGCTGCTCTGGTGAATGCCCGTTAAAATGGGCGGCTTTTAAAGGAAGCCGGCTGCTTAGAGACGCCCCCCGGGAATGCTCGTTCCAGGCTGTCCAGACAGCTTGGAAATTCCTGGTTAACCCTTGGCTTTCCAACTGCCGGCCGAGGCTCCCGCAGGCCAAGCCAGGATCCCCAGTGTGATGGCCCGGAGCCTGCCTGAGGATTTCCCAAGAACCTAGGAAAGAGCGGAAGGCCGACCCACACCCAAAGCAGCCGGAGCCCATGGTCCGCTGTGGGACACCCCTGAGCCCTTCCGGTCTCTGCTCACCCAAGCTCAGAGATCCAGTCTGGTCACCTGTATGAGGGTGGGGGCCTCCCTGCCCTCAGCACCGCGGCCAGCTCTGTGGACAGCCTAGGTGTCCTGGGGCTGGGGGCGAGGCCGAAGCTCCGCCCCCGGGGTCAGGTGATCCCGGGTGCTCTGGGAGCCCCCGGAATTTCGGCAGTCTGCGGAGGACTCAGCCGGCCTTGTGCCACCGCTGATTCTGATTCCCCTGCTCCGGCTTAGGCCGGGCGTCTCTCAGCACATCGAACCTCCCGGTACCCAGCAGCGTGCTCTGATCGGGCCCTTGGTTGTCCGTTAGACACAGACCTGCCCCTGGAATCTCTGGTTCAGCTAACCTGAGCTTTCCGCTTCAGCCATTTGAAGCCGGGGCTCTGTGATTAGCGGCCTGGCTCTTTAGCCCAGCCCAAGGCCGGGCTCCGGGCCCGGGCTGGGCCAAGCCTCACCCCTGCCCTGCCCACGTGGCCTGAAGTGCGGAGAGGAAGGAAGGGCCTTTCTTAGCTCCTTCACCTCCCGCGAGGGGATGGGCCGCCGATGCCCTGGGGGCTCCGGCTTCCTCTCCCGCAGATGCCCAAATCTTTCCCCCGTGCCCACCAGCTCCGCCCCAGGGTGTCTGATTGGAGACTCAGCCGGGTGTTTCCGCAGCACGTGGAGCGGGTGCACCTGGGCCAAGCCGTGGCCTGGGTCCGGTTTTGTGGGGTCCCCTGGCTCCGAGTGGTCAGCAGCTCCACTGGTACCAGGTGCCTGGGGGAGGAGACGCACCCGGGAACCAGCTTCCCACCTGGAGTTAGAGGAGGTCGGGGTTCTAATCCGGGCTAAATCATTGAGTCAGTGACTCAGGAGTCAGTCCCTGCCCTGGGCCTCACGGGAGAGGGTGGGCTCCTTGGCATCGAAGTCCCTGCCGGCTGTGCGGCTCTGCCTGGGGGTGCGTTAGGACGGGTGGGGGGTAGGCGCAGGGGGCGGCTAGGCCTAGACGCTGGGCAGCCACCCGCTCAGGAGGGAGGGGCCGCTATGGAGGCTGCACTCGGTGCTGGTTCTCTGGGGCGGCCGAGGGCTAGGGTCAGGGATCCGATGGAATCCTCCCTGGCATCATCGTCAGCATTTCTGCAGAGGAAGCGGACAGAACAGAGGGCGTGTCCCTGCGGACCGCTGCTGTTTTGCCCCCTAAGGAAGTATGCTCTCCAGCTTTGACAGTGAACGATGGACCCAGGCCTCTCTCCGAGGTCTTGGCACTCGGCCCCAAAAGCTGCCTGTCTGAAAGCGGGTTTTGGTGGCTGCCGGTAGATGCTGCCCGGATTCGGGCCTGCTCACTGGGAATGCACAGCAGGACAAAGACAGAGGGAAGGGAGAGTAGTAGAGCTGTGTCAGGCCTGAGCCTCAGACCCCGGGGAGGCCTTTCTGAATACCCCGCCCTGAGAGCTCTGTGCTATATGGCAGCGGCAGACCCTCTGCCTAGGGTGTGGCCCTGGGCCTGACCACCACGGGGGTGGGGGTGGGGGGTGTGCATTATTGAGAGGCCTTCTGGGAGGGAGGAGGCCTGCTTGTGTCTCATGGATGCTGTGAAGGCCCTTTCCTGCCCCCTCCTAAGCACACTCCTCACCCGCCCCCACTAACAAAGATCCAGTGACCCATGTGGTTGAAAACGCTCCCCTGCCCCCTTCCTGCCAGCATGTCGAGCCACTCCAGGCTCTGTGAAGCTGCTCTTCGGGTGGTGGACACGCACAGACTCACAGAGTCCCTGGCATGGAAGGGGCCCCTGAGGTGGATGCCTCAGGCCAAGAATCCCCTCTGTGCATTTACTGGTCCCATACTGGGATGGCTCCTCTTGGTCCATGACGGCTGACATTGAGCCAAGTCTGGCTCAGGGCTCTGCCACTGATCCACCCCACCCCCCCAAAAAAAAACACCAACCCTGCTTCTGCTTAAACATCTCTGCTTCCTTCCACTGAGCCGTGTGTGGGATGGTCTCCAAGCCTCCCCCAGCCTCATCCCTGTCTCCTGGGCACTCTAGCTGCTGTGTCCAGCCCAGCTGGGGCCTGGTCAAGGCAGAGCACAGAGGGACTGTCACCTGCCTGGTCTCTACCAGGCATTGAATGACAAGTTTCGAGCTGGAAGCTTCCTTAGAAATCACTGACTCCAGCCCTCTAGTCTGCAGAGGGAGAAGGCTTTGAACACAGCTCGGGAGCAGGGCTGTGACCGATGAACTTTCCCCTCCCCTTGGCCCATCCTGGGGCTGCTGCCTGGAGGCTCCCCCTCCCCACTCTCCTTGTTCCCTTCCACGTGCTGGCTTCCTTGCCCCCTCCCCAGGTCAAGCTTGCGGTTTGTCACCACCCCGAGGCTATGTCATCGTGGGAGGTGGGCTTTTTGGAACACCACTGCAGGGTTTTATATTGAAATTCTATCCTTAGGTTCAACTCAGCATTCCAGCCCCAGCCTGACTGCCAACCCAGTGGGTTCCCTCTCCCTCCCAGCCTGGCGCCAGCTGGATAAGCATCCATAGCTTTACTCAGGCTACAAATAGAAATTGTTAAGAGCAAAAGGTCGAGCAAGGGCTGATCCCTGGGGCCCTCCATAGAGACCTCTGGCCTGTCTTCCATCAGTGAAGACCCCAGGCCCCATCTGCTTCCGGCTATGGCCCAGGTTCCGGGACTGTTCCAATCCAGGCCTTGGCCCTGACTGCTATCTTGCTGCTAGACTGGACCAAATGGTAATAGTAACAATAATAGCTGGCATGTGCATACCGCTTACTATGTGCCAAGCACTGTGCTGAGTGCTCGACAGTCATTATCTCGTGTAATCCTTGCAACAACCCTGCAAAGTAGGTGATCTCCCCATTTACAGAAGAGGGAACTGAGGCAGGCAGAGGTAAAGTGACTTACCCAGCATCACACAGCTATTGTGTCTGGGGCTGGATTTGAACTCAATACCTAGCCCTAGCACATTAAACCAAAGCAAAAAGACATTTAGTTCAGATACAGCCCCTGGCCATTAACAGTATGGAAGAAAGCCCTCATCTCCCTTTATGCCTCAATGTCCCTGCAGTCACCTGAATCCCATTCTCTGCCTGTCCCCTCCTTGGCTCCTAGGATGAGTTGCTCTCTGACCCTAACTCCCTCCTTCTCCCTGTGAAGCTCCAACACACAAGACTTTCCACCGGTCCCTCACCTCATGCCTCTTACTCTCATTTGGTCAGACCTTTTTAAATCTTGATTCTGCCATTAGGCAAGGAGGCCACAGGGCACTGAGGGAGGAACCTGGAATCAGGAGGACCCGAGTTCAAATGTAACCCCAGACACACACTAGCTGCATGACCCTGGGAAAGTCACCACTTCTGTTAGCCTCAGTTTCCTCACCTGGAAAATGGGGATGACAGCCCCTCCCTCCCTCCCAGAGTCATTGTGAGAATCAAATGAGGCCATATTTGTAAAGGACTTAGCGCCTGGGGCCTGGCACAGAGTAGGTGCCTCATAAATATCATTAGCTCTGACGGCTCCCCTTCGTGGCGTGAAGCCCTCTGTAGTCCAGCTCTCATCTTCCCTCCAGATAGACTTCCTTACTTCATGTGGTGGACAGACTCAGGCGTTGGGCACTCCTTGGTTTGGGGGGTTATTTTTAAAGAAAAAATTGCATTGATGTTTTCATTTTCACATCAAAGTGGTTCTGCATTGTGTGTGTGTGTGTGTGTGTGTGTGTGTGTGTGTGTGTGTG